ATTGTGTGATGATGCATTTGTAATGAGGATTTGCATTTGACTTAAATTTAGCTGTTTTATTTTGGTAATATCAGTCACTCTCGCTGTGCTGTTTTGTTGCGGTCGCACATCGGACGAGAAGCACAGTGGTTCCCCGGTGCAAAACGAATCACACACTGAACACGTTGCGTCAGCAAACGGGATGAGAAATCGCGATCTATAGCACAATGAATCACAGAATTTATTAGAGCCACAGAAAGACAAACGTTTTGCTGAAAAATGCACAATACACAATCTTCCAACGTAGGATGAAGTCATTATGTACATTAACAATAATTTGGGACAAATATAATGTAATTTAATGGAAAATTATGTGGGTGGCGCGGCAGGATTATGAACAGCGCCTGGAGTCGGGATCCGTGGACAGTCGCCGGTGGCGCCGCCAGTGTGCATACAGTCATGGAAAACAATGTGTGGGAATTTAAAAGACGTGGTGTGGTGCGGTGCAGGGCTGCACATGTCGTCCAGTGTGCGACCGCCTTAAGGCTGGATAGCCTCTTGTTTCAGAGGTGGAATTATCAAAGATGACTTTTAGAAGAGGACACTATAAGCTAGGCTGCTAGTTTTTCCCCCGACGAGGGTAGGGGGAGAGGGCCTAGGCTCAAGAGTTACTGTTCGCTACTGGTATATTGCCATGCTAAACTCTCCGAAAGTTATCATGACAGAAATATGTTTAGTTATAATGGAAATTATTATTTTGTGTTCCACAGAAGAATGTGGAAAGCATTTGAAATGACATGAGCAACAGCAAATGACTTAGCATACTTGCTAGTCACAGTATAGTTAGGGAAAGTGTGAGTAAAAGTAAACACCATCTCATTATGCTTAGTTCTCCTTCCTTGCTTGTTACGTTTAGTTTTACGGTTATGGCTGAAGTGCGTCAATGAAAGGTCAACCCAGATTATGTGTGTACAGAGTGAACTAAAAATAAAAAGTAAGCCAATATGTACTTGGTTATGCTGCTCTGATATTAATCACTATGTGTAAATCAGTTGAGGTCGTGTATATATTAAAACCTGGCATTCACTAACACTTTAAGGCTTAAGGTTTTAATCTGCCCACAACAGAAGAGTTTTCCGTATTTCTTTTAGGAATGTAATATTTTAAGCTGCAGCTTTTTTTTTGTTGTTGTTGTTGATTTAACAGAGCTGGCGAAATGCTCAAACATTTTGAATGATCTAACAAGCTCTTCTTCTACCATTGACTATCGAAGACAATGTTTAATACAAGAGGAGTATTACTTGTTACTAAACACATCAGAACTCCGACGAGGCAGAACGGTACTAAATTAGCCATATGGCTTATTAATCCCATGATGATTTATGGAGAAGGAATAAATGCACAATGCTATGCTTTAGTAAATGAGGAGGTACCAAAATCGTTGTCGTATGATTTATAATATTGTTTTCAAGAATGCCTGGTGATAAATAGAGAGAACTCCTGCCTGTGAGTGTGAAAAAAATGTGTCTTTACCTACTGGCTGGTATCCCTGCCTTGTGGGCCCACCAAATGGATTTCTGCTTCCAAAAGATCCCGCGTCAATGGATCCGTAAGACATTCTGGGTCCTCCAATAGTTTCTTGAGCAGCCAAATGGGACTAGTCTGCATAGGGGGGGGCGGGGAATAAAAACAAGAATGCATATAGTTATAATCACAATTATAGAAAGAGAGGCCCCCGTCTTCACACGGATCTTCAACAAATCACTGGCGCTGAGTGAAGTTCCCTGCTGCTTCAAACGCTCCACCATCATTCCGGTCCCCAAAAAACCCAAAATCACTGGACTTGATGACTACAGACCTGTCGCTCTCCCGTCTGTGGTCATGAAGACATTTGAGCGACTGGTCCTGGCCTACCTGAAGGCAGGGGCGTAGCCATCATTTCAGAAGTTAGGGGGACAGAAATGTTAATTATATATATATATAGTCAGTATAATTATCATTATTATTTTTTTTGGAACATTTAGAAAAAATTATAGAAATTAATACTTTTATTTAGCAATGATGTTTTAAACTGATCAAAAGTGATGATAAAGACATTTATAATGTTACAAAATATTTATATTTCAGATAAATGCTGTTCTTCTGAACTTTCTATTCACATTTACATTTACATGTAATCCTTTAGCAGACACTTTTATCCAAAGCGACTTGCAAATGAGAACAACAGAAGCAATCAAAACCAACAAAAGAGCAATAATATGCAAGTTCTATGACAAGTCTCGGTTAGCCTAACGCAGTGCTTGGAGAGTTTTTTTTTTCCAATAAATAAAAAGAAAACAAGTAGATAGAATAGAAAAGAACAGAGAAAGCTAGTGTTAGGGACCTTTTTTTTTTAAAGAAAACACGTAGTTAGAAAACGAACAGAGTGCAAGCATTAGAGGGCCTTTTAAAATAATAATCGTAGAATAACTTGATACACAAATGGCTGTATTCACAGTGATTATACTTAATTCATATTTTGATTAATAAAAATCGTCTACATACAGTATGTAGTACGAGTTAAGGCTGCTCTGTGCCTGCTCAAAATTCTGTGTAAGGACAGACAAAAATATGCGGTAACACTTTATTTCGATAGTCCACTTTAGACATTCTATTAACAGTAAGTAACTTTGCAACTACATGTCAGCTAGCAGTTAGTAGGATATTAGTAGACTGTCAGCTTAATATCTTCTAACACTTTCTTTGTCAACTTATTCTACTAACCCTAAACCTACCCTAACAGTCTACTCTGAGAGTTAGTAGACATGTAGTTGCAAATTAATGAGAATTAGTTGACATGTAGTTACAAAGTTACTTATAGTTAGTAGAATGTCTAAAGTGGACTATCAAAATGAAGTGTAACCAAATATGCCACCTCAGTTAAAAAGTATCCAGTTGTAATTGTTGTGCAATTGCATTTATACCACCTCCGAGCTGTATTAAACAGTCTGTGTACAGACAACTAAATTAAACTTCAGAAAGCACTTCTGTTACACCTTTACAGTGTGACTTTGGAAGACTTTTGCTCAGAGCGTTTGTGTTTTGTATTCATCAAAGAAACCTGAAAAAAAATCTACTCTGCTGTTTTCAACATCATAATATTTATTTA